CCCGTACACACCTGCCCCGTACACACCTGCCCCGTACACACCTGCCCATATACACCTGCCCTGTACACCTCTGCCCTGTACACACCTGCCCCATACATACCTATGGGTCACTATGTGGTGTGTGCTGGCGTCTCTGTCTCCACCTCTACATTGCACAGCCTGTGCTTCACACAGCACCAGCCAGAGACCTTACCAAAAAAAAAAAAAAAAAAAAAAATCAGGGCCACGCACAGTGGCTCACACTTGTAATCCCAACACTTTGGGAGGACAAGGTGGGCGGATCACAAAGTCAGGAGTTCGAGACCAGCCTGGCCAACATGGGGAAACCCCGTCTCTACTAAAAATACAAAAATTAGCCTCATATGGTGGCATGCACCTGTAATCCCAGCTACTCAGGAGGCTGAGGCAGGAGAATTGCTTGAATCTGAGAGGCGGAGTTTGCAGTGAGCCAAGATGGCCACACCGTACTCCAGCCTGGGTGACAGAGTGAGACTCCAAGTCAAAAAAGAAGAAAAAAATCAGCTTACATCACAGTCTGCACTTGGAAGAAAGTCTGAGCTCCCCGATGCCAGTCCTGCCTGACTGCTGCCCACGCTCCTTGCTCCCCACTGTCTGGCCCACAGTGGTCTCTCTGTCCCGCCAACTTTCCAAGACCTCCCCTGCCAGCAGGCCTTTGCACATGCGGGGCCCACTGCCCAAAGCCGCTCCAATCTTTGCCTAGTGGTTCCTTCTAGTCAGCAGCGTCACCTCCTCAGAGAGGCCCTCCCTGCCCCGACCACTGTATCTGAAACATCAGCCCCCATGGCCCGTCAGAGCACTCTGTCCTCACCAAGAGTTACCTGGCTTCGGCTGGGCGCGGTGGCTCATGTCTGTAATCCCAGAGCTTTGGGACCCCAAGGCAGATGGACCATGAGGTCAGGAGTTCAAGACCAGCCTGGCCAAGATGGTGAAACCCCATCTCTACTAAAAATACAAAACAAAGAATTAGCTGGGTGGGGTGGCGGGCCCCTGTAATCCCAGCTACTCAGGAGGCTAAGGTGGGAAAATCACTTGATCCTGGGAGGTGGAGGTTGCAGTGAGCTGAGATCGCGCCACTGCACTCCAGTCTGGGTAACAGAGCGAGAGTTCATCTCAAAAAAAAAAAAAAAGTTACTTGGCTTCCTCTGTCCTCCAGCAAGATGGTGGCTCCTGAGGTGTGGGACTCTGCCTCATTCCACCCCGCATCTGTGGTGCCCGGCACAACACACGGCTTGCAGCCTGACCCCAGGAACACCTGTGAACGAATGCATGTGTGAAAGACAGCAGGGGCCACGGCCGGCCATGCCATGATTGGTGGGGGTGTGATCCTGTGGGCCATGGCGTGACCTCCAGTATGTCCTGCAGATGAAACTGCTGCCCTTCCGGCAGAAGAAGGCCCATATCATGGAGATCCAGCTGAATGGCGGCACGGTGGCCGAGAAGGTGGCCTGGGCCCAAGCCCGGCTGGAGAAGCAGGTGCCAGTGCACAGCGTGTTCAGCCAGAGTGAGGTCATTGATGTCATTGCTGTCACCAAGGGCCGAGGTGTCAAAGGTAGGGCTCAGTGGGGATGGCAGCTCCAGGGCAGGCTGCCTGGAGGCAGTGGGGAGCAGCCTGGCCTTTCAGCCACCAGCCCCGCCCACTTGCAGGGGTCACAAGCCGCTGGCATACCAAGAAGCTACCGAGGAAGACGCATAAGGGCCTGCGGAAGGTGGCCTGCATTGGTGCCTGGCACCCGGCCCGCGTGGGCTGCTCCATCGCCCGGGCCGGGCAGAAGGGCTATCACCACCGCACAGAGCTCAACAAGAAGGTGCGTCCACAGCCGGGGGAGGGGGACACTGTGTGGTTGGACTCCTGCCCTCAGTACTGGCCTCGGCAGGTAGAGTGCATGACTCAGACACTGCCAGGGTCATGAGATGCCCTCACCAGCGCTGAGGCTGAGCACGTGTGCTGATGGGCCTGTATGGGCTGCTGATCCCAGAGGCCACCTCCTGCCCCTGGCATGTGCCCCCTTTTCCTGGCAGATCTACCGCATTGGCCGGGGGCTACACATGGAGGATGGGAAGCTGGTGAAGAACAATGCATCCACTAGCTACGATGTGACTGCCAAGTCCATCACACCGCTGGTGAGGGCTGGAGTGGGGTCAGGCTGGCCCAGGGGGCCATGGGTATGCCCCAGCTGGGTGTGTCCACCCCAAGGGCTCAAGATTTGTGCCCACAGCTGGACACTGCCCCCCAGACACGCTGGGACACAAGGCTTTGACATCTGGGCAGTCATATGGGACCCTTGCCTCTGCTGTCCAAAACATGTGGATATAATCACAAGCAAGAAATCCCTGCTGCATCCACATCCTCCAAGGCTCCTCTGGAGGCAGCTTCCACTCCAGTTGCTGTCATGTGGGTGTGGAGTGTGGCAGCTCCTACTGTGGCCTGGGAGTTAGGCCACATGGGTTCAAACTGCATCTCCAGGACTTAGCAGCTGTGGAGCTTGGAGCAAGTGATCCTCAGTCTCCCCCAACAAAAACGCAGATTGTTGAGTAAGATAACACATGAAAAGTTCTGAGCAACTGGGTGCAGTGGCTCTGCCTGTAATCCCAGTACTTTAGAAGGCTGAGGTGGGCAGATCACAAGATCAAGAGTTTGAGACCAGCCTGGCCAACATGGTGAAAGCCCATCTGTACTGAAAATACAAAAATTAGCTTGGTGTGGTGGCGCAAGCCTGTAATCCCAGCTACTCAGGAAGCTGAGGCAGAAGAATCGTTTAAACCCAGGAGGCGGGCCGGGCGCGGTGGCTCAAGCCTGTAATCCCAGCACTTTGGGAGGCCGAGGCGGGTGGATCACAAGGTCAAGAGATCGAGACCATCCTGGTCAACATGGTGAAACCCCGTCTCTACTAAAAATACAAAAAATTAGCTGGGCATGGTGGCACGTGCCTGTAATCCCAGCTACTCAGGAGGCTGAGGCAGGAGAATTGCCTGAACCCAGGAGGCGGAGGTTGCGGTGAGCCGAGATTGTGCCATTGCACTCCAGCCTGGGTAACATGAGTGAAACTCCGTCTCAAAAAAAAAAAAAAAAACCCAGGAGGCGGAGGTTGCAGTGAGCTGATATTGCGCCACTGCACTTCAGCTTGGGTGACAGGGTGAGACTCTGTCTCAAAAAAGAAAAGGACTTAGCTTGTGACTCAGATGCTTTCCTCAGTAGTGGTAATAGTCATCCCTATACCTGGGGGCTGGGCATGGGGCTCCCTCCAATCACAGCCCGCTGTGGGGATTCTCCTAGGTCCCCCAGCCACCTGCTAACTCAGAAGCCCTGTCTGGGCCTGGCCCCTGACCTGTCTCCTCTGCAGGGTGGCTTCCCCCACTATGGGGAAGTGAACAATGACTTCGTCATGCTGAAGGGTTGCATTGCTGGTACCAAGAAGCGGGTTATTACGCTGAGAAAGGTTGGCAGGGCGAGGCGGGCTGGGGAGTGGGTACATGAGGGATGCCAGCCTGTCCTGCCCTGCAGCCTGCTACAAAGCAGACGCAGTGGACGGAACAGAAAGGGAGGGGTCTGGCAGGAACTAGGTGTGCAAGACCTTCCTGGTGTGGCCTGGAGGTCACAGCAGGGTGATCAAGATCCCCACTCTTGATGTCTACTTGACCATGGATTCCCCAGTCCCTCCTGGTGCACCACAGCCGCCAGGCCCTGGAGAATATTGAGCTCAAGTTCATCGATACCACCTCCAAGTTCGGCCATGGCCGCTTCCAGACAGCCCAAGAGAAGAGGGCCTTCATGGTGAGCTCAGTGTCCCCCATCCCTGTTCTTCTCTTGGGCTCCCATTCCACATCCAGCCTGCCCAAGTAGGGAAGCTGGAGCTGGCAGGGACTCCCCTTCGCTCATCTGCAGGAGAAACTCTTTTTTTTGAGACGGAGTGCACTGGCGTGATCTTGGCTTACTGCAACCTCCACCTCCCGGGTTCAAGCGATTCTCCTGCCTCAGCCTCCTGAGCAGCTGGGACTACATGCGTGTGCCACCACACCCAGCTAATTTTTTGTATTTATAGTAGAGATGGGGTTTCACTGTGTTAGCCAGGATGGTGTCTCTATCTCCTGGCCTCGTGATCTGCCCGTCCTGGCCTTCCAAAGTGCTGGGATTACAGGCATAAGCCATCGTGCCCAGCCTGCAGGAGAGGCTCTTAAGGGTCTACCCCTGGACACTGATTCTCTAGAAGAGAAGGGGTAGGAACCAGCCTTGGAATGGGTGACCTGGAGCCTGGCTGAGGGCAGTGTTTCTGGCCAGACTCCTGTGACTAAGCCTCCTCTTGCACCACCCCCGCAACCAGGGTCCCCAAAAGAAGCATCTGGAGAAGGAAAAGCCAGAGACCTCGGGAGACTTATAGGCTGCGTGGGGTGGATGAGCCCTGAAGTGCAGCGCACCCACTGTCTGCCCTGATGTCAAATAAAGGCCAGAGGCAACTCTTCCTGCAGTGTCTCGGAGCGATTTGTAACCGCCCAAAGGGATTCACCTTGCCCACCACCTAGACAAAGCTGATTAATTAAGACAGGGGAATTGCTGGCTGGGTTGGCTCAGGCATCTAATCCCAGCACTTTGGGAGGCCGAGGCAGGGGGATCACCTGAACTTGGGAATTCGAGACCAAACTGACCAACATAGAGAAACCCCATCTCTACTAAAATACAAAATTAGCAGGGTGTTGTGGCGCATGCCTGTAATCCCAGCTGCTCAGGAGGCTGAGGCAGGAGAATCACTTGAACCCGAGAGGCAGAGGTTTCAGTGAGCCAAGATCCCGCCACTTCACTCCAGCCTGGGCAATGAGAGTGAAACTCTGTCTCAAAAAAACAAAGAAAAAAGGGAATTGCAATAAAGAGTAATTCATGCAGAGGCAGCTATGCTGGCTATGTGGGAGACTAGAGTTTTATTGTTACTTAAATCGATCTCCTTGAGCATTCAGGGAGCAGTTTTTTTTTCTTTTGAGATGGAGTCTTGCTCTTGTCGCCCAGGCGGGAGTGTAATGGCACAATCTCGGCCCGCTGCAACTTCTGCCTCCTGGATTTGAGTGATTCTCTTGCCTCAGCCTGCTGAGTAGCTGGGATTACAGGCGCCTGCCACCACACCGGGCTAATTTTTGTATTTTCAGTAGAAACGGGGTTTTGCCATGTTGGCCAGACTGGTCTCAAACTCCTGATCTCGTGATCTGGCCGACTCAGCCTCCCAAAGTGCTGGGATTACAGGCATGAGCCACCAGCCTGAACAGAGAGCAGAGTTTTAAGGATAACTGACCTGTCTTTTCTGCAGGGTGTGGGGAAGCCAGTGAGCCACGAGTGCTGACTGGTCAGGGATAAAATCACAGGGAGTCGAAGCTGTCTTCTTTCCCTCAGTCAGTTCCTGGGTGGGGGTGGCAAGATCAGATGAGCCAGTTTATCAGTCTGGGTGGGGCCGGCTGATCCATCAAGTGCAGGGTCAGCAAAATATTTGAAGCACTGATCTTAGGAGCAGTTTAGGGTCAGAATCTCCTAGCCTCCAGCTGCATGACTCCTAAACCATAATTTCTAATCTTGTGGCTGTTAGCCCTGAAAAGACAATCTAGAAACCCAGGCAAGGAGGTGTGCTTTGGGAAAGTGCTGTTACCGTCTCTGTTTTAAACTATAAACTATAATCTGAGTTTCTCCCAAAGTTATTTCAGTCTACCACCAGGGTTGAACAAGGACAGCTTGGATGTTAGAAGCAAGATCCCGTCGCTTAGGTTATAGCCCTTTCACCGACTCAGTCATAATTTTGCAAAGGCAGTTTCAGCTGGGCGAGGAAAGGCTGCCTGACCTGCGGTGGCTCGGGGCTTAGCACCAGGGACTGAACGGGGAAAACACAGCCCTACGTTGCGCACCACCACCTACCTGGCCAGGTCCCAAGCGGGTCCTCAGCCACGAGAGCGCTCGGGGCGACAGGGGCGGGACCTCGGGGAAGCAGCCCAGAAACTGTCTCGGGGAGTTTCTATCGGCGGGGCCTGCTGGGAAGATGGGATTGGACCGGCCCCCAGGAGGGGCGGGGCATCGAGGAAATGGCCCAGGAGCGGTCTCAGGCAGTTATTGATGGGTGGGGACTACTGGGAAAATGGGATTGGACCTGCAATTGGGAGGGGGCGGGGCCTCAGCGAAGCAGGCCAAGAGAAGTCCTCGGGAGTTACCGGTGGGCGGGGCCTGCCGGGAAGATCGGATTGGACCGGTCCTCAGGAGGGGCGGGGCCTCCCAGAGGCGGAAGCCAGGATTCGCAACCCGGGGAGCGATTGGTCCTCGCGAGGGGCGGGGAGGGGGGCGGGGGTCTTGGAGGTCGCTGGGTGGACAGCCTTGAGTCTGTTGGCGACAGCAAGTGCGTTGCGGTTACGGTGGCGCCATGTCGTTCTGCAGCTTCTTCGGGGGCGAAGTTTTCCAGAATCACTTTGAGCCGGGTTGGTCGTGCGGCCTCTCGCAGGGAGGGCAGAGAGGGGGTGGGGGGGGTGAGGTGAGAGGTTGGGGGAAGGGGTGGGGGAGGGGGGAAGGGTGGCGGGGACGCTCATTAAAGGGGGCGTCGCCGTCCTCCGGGGGTGATGTCTCCTCTAAGCCGGGAATGGGGGTGAGTGTGGCCACCAGGGAGAAGCGAACATAAGAGGACTGCGGAGAGGGGATCCTGGGGGCGCGGAGAGTGGGGTACCCGATGAGAGGGAGCTTTGGGGGTCACGGTCCTTGAGGAGGGCAGGCTTCGAGTGTGAACGTGCCCTTTCGGGTGGGGCGAGTCGAAGGGATCAGGGTACGTGGGGGTGGTACCCCTTCCCTGCCCATTCACTCCAAAGTGATGGCGGTGGGGGAATTCCGGTTAGGGTCGGGACTTTGGAGAGGCGCGACAGAAGTTTTTCTACAGGGCCAGCTCCTGTGGCCGGGCTGCCCCTCTGCAGGTCATCCCACAGGTCAGGGATCTGTGGGAGGAGTCCAGCAAGCATAGAATGTCCCCTTGAGATTTTAATGTGCCAGCTCAGGTTCCTCCTCACTTGCCAAGGACTCCAGATTCGGGAATCAGGAGTGCCACCAGGCCCCTGCCAACGGCCAGTGGAGTCTGACCAGGCAGACAGGATGGGGTGGTTTGGGGCATGGCCAGCCCTCAGCACTGGCCCCAGGCTGTGAGAGGCCCTGGGGGCTGGGCTGGCCTGATAGTGGACTAATTTGGTAAAAACATCCACAGGCACATTTTAGAAGCTGGGGGGATCTGCTGGGTGTCAACCCTGTAGGGGACTGGGCTGTGGCACAGGACCACCCAGCAAAGCCTCCCCCAACAAGACTCTCCAGCTGTGGACCCCAGTTGTCCTCAGGCTGCTCTGCGAAGCCAGAAACTCCTCTCTCACAGCAGCTGCTGGCTCCTCTTTGCTTTTTTCTCCAGTTCCTGGAAAAGGCTGGGTAGTTTAGTCTCCATGGGAGGCTATCCCCAGGTGATGGGTGAGAGGTGACTCACCACCCCTGGAGGTTCCTGTTTTTAGTCCTTCAAACGGTTCTGCAAGACAGTTTTGCAACTTTCCTACTCACTTCACTCCAAAGTGATCCTTTGGGGGTAGGCTGAAATCTGTCCTCCTCAGCCCTCTTTCTTCCTGGGCTCCTGTGTGGCCTGGAGGCCTTTCTCTGGAGCTGTTCTCTTCCTGCCTGGAGAGCAGGGCAGTGCCTGGGTGTCCAGCTTAGGGCCTTGTTGGGCAGCAGGGAGGGCCACTTGAGAAGGGAGAGGGACCAGGTGGTTGGGCCACATCAAGGCCCCTGCTGTGTATGTCCCCTGGAGGGCTGGGGGGTCGAGGGGGAGCTCCGTGTCCTCATCGGACTGCCCAGGTTCCTTCACACTGCACACGCTGTAGCTGGGTGTCTTTGCATCACCAAGCAAAGATGGAAATGGTAGGAGAGGCTCCATCACGGGACTATGTGAAGAATCGAGGTAATTGTGAAAGATGACTCCCCAGTCTCTGGCACGTCTACTAAACATGAGTTCAGTGCAGGTCTCCCATGTCAGGTACATGGGGATGGAGTGTGGGGCCCACCCTGGGAACGGGGACAGCGCTGCCTTTGCCTGGGCCCATGGATTTGGGAGCGTGACCCCAGAAAGGCCAGAGCTGATGACTCCACACTTGCCTCTCCTTTTACCACAGGCATTTATGTGTGTGCCAAGTGTGGCTATGAGCTGTTCTCCAGCCGCTCGAAGTATGCACACTCGTCCCCATGGCCAGCGTTCACTGAGACCATTCACGCCGACAGCGTGGCCAAGCGTCCGGAGCACAATCGATCTGAAGCCTTGAAGGTGAGAGGCCACGGGGATGGGGGAGGCATGGGGGTGGCCAGGGAGAGCAAAGAGGCCGCCTCACCTTCCTCCCTCTGCTTGCCCCATGGCTCCAGGGGCTTAGAGGCTGTCTGTTCCAGGCCTGTGGCCTTCACCAGGGAGCTGCCACCCCAGGCTATCAGGAGAGCCTAGCCTTCTGGTGCAAATGTGGAAAACAGGGCAGAGTTCATGTCCAGGCTCCAGGACCAAGATCAACCTCTTACATTGGGGATCTGCTTGGGAAATGGATGTGTGTGAAGAAACACCATCTGCCAGCCCCAGTGAGGGCCTTTACCATGGCTCTTTCATGGCCAGAAGCTCACGAAGCTGCCTTGTGATCTTTCCAGGTGTCCTGTGGCAAGTGTGGCAACGGGTTGGGCCATGAGTTCCTGAACGACGGCCCCAAGCCGGGGCAGTCCCGATTCTGAATATTCAGCAGCTCCCTGAAGTTTGTCCCTAAAGGTGAGCTTGCCTTGCACAGCTAGGGGCTAGGCCCGTTGGCCTTTGAGCCCAGGGTTGGGGATTCCAGTGTTTGTGCCCATCCACTTACCATGACAAGGTACGGGGCCACCAAGTCGTGCTGCCTGGGAACTGCTCACGGTCCTCCTGAAAGGTGGCTGCAGGGCAGGGACAAGGGGGCCTGTGTTCTGCTTCCTCGCCTGGTTGATCTTGAGTATACCAACAAGGGGCACTGAAGTGAGAATGAGGCAAATGCTTTTCTCAGGAGGCGTGGCCTTTCCCTGAGGCTAGTGTCAGGAGTGGGGCTGACAAAGGCTGAGGCTCTGGTCTGTGCAGCCATGTCTCCCACTGGCCAGGACTGTGGCCTTGCTTCGTAGCACTCTGAGTCTGCCTCCCCCTCTGTGGATTGGACATGGTAGTAGGGCTGGTGAGGACAGCTGTGTGTCATGTGCACCTGCGCCTGTCATACCATAATAGGTTGATGATTCCTCATTCTTCTTTAAATTTTATTTTGACACAGAGTCTTGCTCTGTTGGGCAAGCTGGAAGCCATCTTGGCTCACTCAACCTCCGCCTCCCAGGTACAAACAATTCTTCTGTCTCAGCCTCCCGAGTAGCTGGGATAATAGGCGCACGCCACCACACCCAGCTAATTTTTGTATTTTCAGTAGAGACGGGGTTTCACCATGTTGGCCAGGCTGGTCTTGAACTCCTAACCTCAGGTGATTCGCCCACCCCAGCCTCCAAAGTGCTGGGATTACAGGTGTGAGCCCCCGCGCCCGGCTGATGAATCCTCATTCTTGTCAGCAGTGTTCTTAGCGTTGGTAGCTTGTGTCTGGGTGCTGTTTGTCATCTCCGTGTGTTTCACCTGAGCACAGCCTCCTCTGTGGTCCACTGCCCTCCCGCTCACACAGATCCTCAGGCATCACTGCAGGCCCAGCCTCCCCAAGACTCTTCCCTGAGCTCTGCGTTGGAACCCCAGCTCTTCCCTCAACATCCATAGGACCGTGGCCAGTTCCCTATTTTCAGCTTCATTCTCTTTAAAAAAAATTTTTTTTTTTTCATTTTTAAAAATTTGTATTTGCTGATATTTTCTTTTTTTTTTTGTAGAGATGAAGTCTCACTCTGTTCCCCAGGCTGGTCTCGAACCCCTAGGCTCAAGAGATCCGTCCACTTTGGCCTCCCAAAGTGCTGGGATTATAGGTGTGAGCCACTGTGCCCAGCTTTTTCTTAAATTTAAATTTACTTTTTTGAGATGGGGTCTTACTCTGCCACCCAGGCTGGAATGCAGTGGATGAAACAAGGCTCACTGCAGGCTCAAACTCCTGGGCTCAGGCATTGCTCCTGTGTCAGCCTCCCAAGTAGCCAGGTCTAAAGTGCGTGTCAGCACACCTGATTAATTTTTTTTTTTTGAGACACAGTTTCGCTCTTGTTGCTCAGGCTGGAGTGCAATGGCGTGATCTTTTTATCTTTTTTTTTTGCCTCCCAGGTTCAAGTGATTCTCCTGCTTCAACTCCTAAGTAGCTGGGATTACAGGCACCTGCCAGTACGCTGGACTAATTTTGTATTTTTAGTAGAGATGGGGTTTCTCAATGTTGGCCAGACTGGTCTCAATCTCATGACCTCAGGTTATCCGCCCGCCCCGGCCTCCCAAAGTGCTGGGTTTATAGGTGTGAACCACCGTGCCTGGCTCAACCTGGTTAATTTTTAAAACTTATTTTTTTTTGAGACAGTCTTGTTCTGTCGCCCAGGCAGGAGTACAATGGCCGATCTCAGCTCACTGCAGCCTCCACCTCCTGGGGTTCAAGCAATTTTCTTGCCTCAGCTTCCTGAGTACCTGGGATTACAGATGTACCCCACTACACCCGGCTAATTTATGTACTTTTAGTAGAGACAGGGTTTCACCATGTTGGTCAGGCTGATCTGGAACTCCTGACTTCAGGTGATCCACTCGCCTCAGCCTCCCACAGTGCTGAGATTACAGGCGTGAGCCCCTGCGCCTGGTCAATTTTTAAAATTTTTTGTAGAGATGAGGGTCTCACTATGTTGCCCAAGCTGGTCTTCAACTCCTCTGGGCCTTGGCCTCCCAAAGTGCTGGGATTGCAGGCGTGAGCCACCATGCCTGGCCTGAATGGGGTTGTTAACAGCACATGCTCATGGCCATCACACTGCTGTGGGGTAAAGCGAGCAGCCTGGTAAATATCCATGGTAAACTTGCCATGATATTTTTGATCTTTTGTCATTATTTGTCCTCCATGTGAGTGGATGGAGGAGAGACTCTGGGTTCCCCTGTGGATCTCAGAACAAAATGGGGTGCACAGACTCCCATGAGTCGGGAATCTGGTCCTTTCAGCTCCCCTGTGGCCTGCAGGCCAGGGCAGAGGTGAAGGGCTCAGGGAACGGTGACTTGTTTTTCTCTCCCTTCTCTCCTTTCTTTTAGGCAAAGAAACTTCTGCATCCCAGGGGCGCTAGGCGGGCAGCCCATACCCACCCTGGATGGCCACCGCACTGAGGCCACACGCTGGCCATTCCACCTTGGAGTTGGGACCCTAGGCATCAAGACAGGAAGTAGGCAGGGCATGGTGCTTGAAACATCGGGAAGCTCCCGAGGCCCCAGCTCTGAACAAGACCTTCTTGTTTCTTGGAAAAGATACTCATTTGCTGATGGTTCATGCCTTCTGCCAGGACCGGCCTGGGCTGCACAGCCGCTCTGTCGACTGGCTTAGCTCCCCGCCCCCCGCCCACTTGAGGTGCTTCCAGGAGGTGGGCTCTGGGCGCAGCTGGTCTCTGAATGAGGTTACACCCCCACTTTCTTTTCCCGGCCCTGTCTCTGCTCATTGGGACCATGGGTCCCAATTCCAAGACAGACTCTCATCCTCACCGAAGCTTAGGCCCACATCTCCCAGGCTGTGTAGGAGACAGAATGGAAATGAAGGCTGCCCCTGCCACCCACCCCAGCCCTGGTCACTGCATGATCCGCTCTGGTCAAACCCTTCCAGGCCAGCCAGGGTGGGGATGGTCTGTGACCTGCTGGGAAGGCAGGCTGATGGGTAGACCCTGGGCATCTCGTCCATGAGGGGAGAAACCTAAACCCTGTTTCACAATCTGTGCGGAAGTAGCTTGCCTCACTCGGGCTTAGGAAAGTGCTGTTGCTCCATTACTCTAACCAGCACAGGGCAGGGGCCCTGAGTTCACACCTGCAGGGAGGCCCTTCAAAGGTGTGTGACTGTGCCTTATTGGACATGCTTGGAGGTCTTTCCAACCGGGAGGGTGGGTGATGCTGAAGTTACCCTCCATCTTAAGTAATTTCTTTTTGGCGTAATCAGATGGAAATCAATAAACAAATTAAACACCCAGACATACTGTCTTTTTTCTTTTTTGAGACATGGTGGGGTCTGGCTCTGACATCCAGGCTAGAGTGCAATGGTGCAGCATGGCTCACTGCGGCCTTGACCTTGTGGGTTCAAGGCATTGTCCCATCTCAGCCTCCCAAGTAGCTGGGACCGCAGGTGTGCACCACCATGCTGCATCATGTTTACATTTTTGGTAGAGATGGGGTCTCGCTATGTTGCCCAGGCTGGTCTTGAACTCCTGGACTCAAGTGATCCTCCCACCTTGGATTTCCAAAATGCTGGGATTACACGTGTGAGCCACGGTGCCCCGTCCCTGCTGTCTTTATTAACATCAGAGATGCCAGGACATGAGTGTCAGGCCTTTATATAATTAAAAAATTTTTTTGAGGCTGGATGCGGTGGCTCATGCTCCGTCTCAAAACAAAAAACAAAAAAAAACTTTTTTTTCCCAGATATTTACTGAGTATCCCTTCAGTAAATATGTGCAAAGAAGGGCTGGGTGCGGTGGCCACACGTGTAATCCCAGCACTTTGGGAGGCCAAGGCGGGTGGTCATGAGGTCAAGAGATTAAGATCATCCTGGCTAACGTGGTGAAACCCTGTCTCTACTAAGAAGACAAATATTAGCTGGGCATGGTGGTGTGTGCCTGTTTTCCCAGCTACTCAGGAGGCTCAGGTAGGAGAATAGCTTGATCCCGGGAGGTGGAGGTTACAGTGAGCAAATATGGAGTCACTGTACTTCAGCTCAGGCAACAGAGCGATACGCAATCTAATAAAAAAATAAAGCCAGACATGGTGGCTCATGCATATAATCCCAGCACTTTGGGAGGCTGAGGTGGGTAGATCACCTGAGGTCAGGAGTTTGAGACCAGCCTGGCCAACATGGTGAAACCCTGTACCTACTAAAAATACAAATTAGCCTGGTATGATGGCACATGCCTGTAATCCCAGCTACTAGGGAGGCTGAGGAAGGAGAATTGCTTGAACCCAGGAGGTGGAGGTTGTGGTGAGCTGAGATGGCACCATTGCACTCCAGACTGGGCAACAAGAGCAAAACTCTGTCTCAAAAAAAAAAAAAAAAAATTGCCAAAAAAAATATGGCTGGGGATGCAGCTGTGTGATGCTAGCGTGTAGAGGAAACTCCAGGGGTGGGATCAGGGACGGGGACTCTGAGGAGGCCTTAGCTCAGCAGTGACGGCCACAGCATGTGCACAGGCTCGGCACACACGGGCCTGCCTCATGCCCTGGAGGCATGGAACAAGGTGTGACCAGGAGAAGGCGCACCGTGTTCCCGATGAAATGCAATGTCTTCCCAATTTATATCCACAGAAATCAGGGGAGCATGTGGGAATGGATATTATGGGTGGATGTTTCGTCCTCCAGAACCCATAGGTGGCAGTGCCCCAAGATGGGGCCAGCTGGTATCTGAAGTAAGGAACACTGACCACCAGGTGTCCAGAGCTTTTATTTACTTTTATTTATTTATTTATTTAAGATGGGGTTTCACCATGTTGGTCAGGCTGGTCTTGAACTTCCGACCTCAGGTGATCTGCCCACCTTGGCCTCCAAAGTGCTTGGATTACAGGCGTGAGCCACCGTGCCCAGCCTATTTACTTTTATTTACTTATTTATTTTTTATTTTATTTATTTTTTATCTAACTCTGTTAGACTGGAGTGCAATGGTCTCAGCTCACTGCAACCTCCGCCTCCTGGGTTCAAGTGGTTCTCCTGCCCCAGCCTCCTGAGTAGCTGGGATTACAGGTGCCCTCCACTAAGCCTGGCGAATTTTTTTTATTTTTAGTAGAGATGGGGTTTCATCGTGTTGGCCAGGCTGGTCTTGAACTCCTGACCTCGTGATCTGCCTGCCTTGGCCTCCCAAAGTGCTGGGATTACAGGCGTGAGCCCCTGCGCCTGGCCCCCAGTGCATTTATTAGGGGAACTACAGAAGTTGCAGTGTATGCTTGCAACCCACAGCGAGAGAAAAGGGGTGCCCGCCTCCCTATCTCTGCAGCAAGGGGACAGGGTGTGGGATGGATATGGGAGTTTAAGGGATTTGGTTCAGGGCTGGGCCAGTCTCTTTCCGTGTTTTAGCCAACGACCTAGTTTTTTTTCTTTTTTGAGACAGAGTCTTGCTCTGTCATCCAGGCTGAAAGTGCAGTGGTACCATCCTGGCTCACTGCAACCTCTGCCTCCTGGGTTCAGGCAATTCTCCTGCCTCAGCCTCCCAAGTAGCTGTGATTACAGGCTTGCATCACCATGCCCAGCTAATTTTTGTATTTTTAGTAGAGACGGGGTTTCTCGATGTTGAACAGGCTGGTCTCAAACACTGCACTCAGCCTCAATTAAAAAATTTTTTTTTTTTTTCGTTTTTGAGATGGAGTCTTGCTCTGTAGCCCAAGCTGGAGTGCAGTGGCATGATCTCCACCTCCAGGGTTCCGGTTCAAGCAATTCTCCTGCCTCAGCCTCCTTAGTAGCTGGGATTACAGGCATGCGCCGCCATGTCCAGCTAATTTTTGTAGTTTTAGTAGAGACAGGGTTTTACCTTGTTGGCCAGGCTGGTCATAAACTCCTGATCTTGTGATCTGCCCACCTCGGCCTCCTAAAGTGTTAGAATTACAGGCGTGAGCCACTGCACCTGGCCTTTTATTTAATTTTTAAAAAAATAGAGATAGGGCCTTACCATGTTTCCCAGGCTGGTCTTCAGTTCCTAGGCTCAAGCCATCCTCCTGTTTTGGTCTCTGTGGGAAGTAGAAAAGTTCCTTTTCTAAGTTTCCTTTCTTGTTAAAAATGTAAGTGTGCTAATAACTTTGTTAAGCCCTATCCTACGTAGCTGTTAGACACGCCATGCTTACAGGCACGTAGTACATTCTATGTCCTTGTACTTTAACCAGGATATCTGTGCTGGATGTGCTCACAGGCCTGTCCCACCTCTCCATTGCTTTTACCTGTTTATAAAAGTTTTAAGTTGTTAGCCCATCGGGTTTTAGTTTAGATTGTAAGGTCTG